CGTCGACTACCGCCGATCGTCATCAACTGTCGTTGCCCACCGCTAACTAAATGTCTTCAGTCGACGTTGCACCTTGAAAAATCTCGTAACCATTTTCCGTCTATGAGACAAAGGGCCTCTGTAATCATCAACTTATAGTGAAATTTTTCAACTGTGCCAGGTCCCGTGGTCAGACCCCGTTATTTTTTCCCTTTATGGGTTTTCCACATAAAAACTTCTGGTGTCATCACAGCTTATTTCTTTTTCATCTGTGTGCGTGCTGAATTATTCTCTTTCATCTGAGTATGCGTTGAATCATCGTGCAAAGCTAAGATGATAATCCATTACTTTACCGCCATGAATTTTCTAGCACGCATCATATATATATATATATATATATATACACACACACACACACACACACACACATTAGTTTCATAATTTTGTATCTATTTAAAAAGCTATGAGAATAAGGCAATAAATATTTTGATTCTAATTTATCTTAGGTGAGATAATACATTTGTTATGATAGTTTACATGAATTTCATTATCTCCATCATAAACATAAATATTAAAGAAAAGAATAAATATTTTATTTAGAAATTTTTTTCAAAGTTCTTAAAACAGCATCCTCCTCCTATGTGCTATATATTTTATGGCTATTTGTTCTACCCAAATTGAAGGAGCTTAATGGCAACTTTGATCCATACGTGGTTTATATACTCTTAGTAGAACCTAAAAAGGCTAAGGCTCATATCCCACATAACTTCATAATGAAAATGGTTTAATTAAATTGTTTTTCTAAGGAAATTGGAGACATCATAAGAACAAACTACTAAAAAAGTTACAAATTTAGGTATTTCAATTGATCTTATGCCCTCTGCAGTCCTCACCATCATAAATAAGAATATTGTCGAGATTGTTTCTTTGGTGAAGAACAAGTTAAAAAGACAAAAAGCTTATGAAAATATAATAAAATATACTCATAATTATATTTATTTCTTAAAGCAATGCATAAGGATTATAAAATACAAAAAAAATATTTTTCTCATTAAACTATATTTAAATATAATGTACATTTTCTTACAAAAAAATTTATTTAAATTTTGTTGTATTTTAAATATTTTAATCCAGTTGAAATTAATTTATATCTTTAAGATATTTAAAAAAAAAAAAAAATTAAACCGTCAATAAAATCATTTTAAGCTTTTGATTTTGCATTTTACGGATCTAAAACTTTCTTGTGTGTCAAAATCATTTATTAGTTCAATTCTATGGTTGAACTATGCTTAGAAATTATGCTTGTGTTTTTTCCAAATATAAAATTTATGCAATTTATTTTTTAGTCAGTGTACAATATAACGATATTAACTTGAAAATTCTAATTATATAAGGAAATTTGTATGGTATAAGCATTATTCTATATGTATAACAAAATTGTTTTAAAT